AAATTGTGTTCAGTGACTCACTACCGTAGGTGCACTTTGGTTAGGGTCTGGCCCCAGGAGCCAGGCGTGGACCTCCAGATAGGTCCTTTTCCATTCAACGCCCCTGCTCACTGGCAAGAACGACCAGCCTTGGTCAGTCCTGTAGCTGGAGGGCACATGGGGTGGTGGGAGTTTTGTCAGGCCTGGGTTCTGATCATGGCTCAGGGACCTGGCACGTCCCTCAAGGCTCTGAGCCTTAGTTTTCTCACCTACCAAATGGAAGACTCACACCTGCAGTAAAGTAATAACGTGAAGCAGCACCGCCGAGCACTGAGCACGGGCTGGACGTTGTGCTGAGCCTGTGACTGCGTTATTTCAGTTCATCTTCACAACGCTGCTAGGAGGAATGCTCTATTTTTAATCCATTTTAAGGTTGTAGAGAGCACGACTCAGAGAAGTGGAGTAATTTACCCAAGGTCACACAGCAAATGAACGGTAGAGCCAGGGTTCAAACCTGCACACGCGGGCTCCAGCGTTCTCACTCCTGATTCCAGCCCCGCAGGGCAAATCGCTGTCCCTGCGAGGGGAATCATTTCCTGCCTCCCTCTTTCTTCACCTGCCAAGGGTAGGACTGGCGGCTGGGCCCCCCATGGGAAGGAGCCGGGGTTGTTTCTGGGTGGGGTCCCCAGTGGGAAGACTGAGGTGGCCTGTGTTTTGTAGGTGGAAGACCATGGAAGGCGACTGTCTGAGCTGCATGAAGTATCTGATGTTTGTTTTCAATTTCTTCATATTTGTAAGTATTTCTGGGTCTCCCCGGGCATCCGCTGGGCAAGCAGAACCGGGTGCTGCTTTTAAATAATCACATTGGGCTGAGTCCCGGGGGTGGGAACAGGGGCCAGCACTAGAAGCAGATGTAGCTGCCCAGCCAGGCTTTCATGGGGGGTGGGAGGTGGGCCCCCAGCAGTGCCTGCTCACTCTGAAGAGCCCATCATCATAGGAGAGGCATTTTACACAGACCCAAGGATGGTTCAGCCCCTCTGGCAAAGGTTGGGGGAGCTCAGTCCCAGCCACTGTGGTAGGATATGACCCCTGGTGGGGAGTGGAGGAGGA